TATAAATAATATTAATAATACAATAAATAAATAAATAAATATAATGAATAAATAAAATTTTTATAGAAATAGAACAATTACTACATTAATTATAACAACATTTAATTTCAATTATTAGAATTAATATTATAAGAATCAATAATTACAATTCATTTTACATATTAAAATTAATAAAATTTTCGATTTTATTTATATATTTATTAACGTAATTATGAAGATTTAGAAAGAAAAGCTTTAAGAAATGATCTATCTCTCTTTGTTATTTATTTTATTTTATTTAAAATAAAATAAAATATATATCTTCATTTATTTTATGTAAAAAATCGTGATAATCATTACAAAATTCAGAGAAAAATATATGATTTCTTTAATGAAAATTAATAAAAATTAAAAATAATTTTTCAAATATAATTTTGAATCATTAGTAATAATCAATTAAAAATAATTATGATATGAAATAACATTTTTAATTTGTTTTAAATTAATAAATATAAAATGTCTTTAAATTAAGACAAAATTTCTATTATTTCAAATTATTAAAATATAATATAAATAATATAAAATATAATATAATATAAAATATAATAATTTTTAAATTTTTTGAAATTTTATCATAAGTTTAAATTCTATTTATCATTAATTTTATCATTAATTTTATAATCATTTACAAATTTTTTTTTGTTAAAATAAATTTATACTATTAAAATTATAGTATAAAATTTATATTATTTTAATATAAACATTTGTAAAATTTTCAATACATTTGTAAAATTTCTTTTTGAATTCTATTCTTATGAATACTTCTCATTTATTATTTTTTATCAATATTTTAACTAAATCTTTACAATATGGGATTTTTTATCATTTATTTTATTTATTTTATTTATGATTTTATATTAAAGTTTAATATCAAAATTAATTATCACAAATATTGTATTTTATGTTGAATCGGTAATATTGAGAATGACTTTAACATAGTAAGAGGGCTCTGGACTAAGAAAATCTATTATTAGAATTGTTTTCTATCTCATTTATGTTATATATAAGTCAGTTGTTGACAAATGTTATATATTACAATTTATTAACGTCTTAATAGTAGAAAATAATCACTATGTCACAAGTCAAAGGTATATTAATTACAAAATATTTTAAATATGACTTAAATATTTTTTAAATATATTTTATATCATTTTTCTTTATTACAAGTTTCTCACAAATCTTTTCTGTTTTTAATATAATTTAATATAATTTATATACTTTTATATACAACGCTTATTGACTTATTAAAATAAACATATATATATAAATCGATAATAAACAACTATATTTATTTAAAAAAAATATTATAATTATTAAAAATTTGACTTTCTTATTTTATGATTGGATAAAAGGTGGCGAAAAAAATCGTGGATATCATTTTAATAAGAAAATTAACTGTGGTGACAAGAAAAAAGAAATTGTGGAAAGTACAAATGAAAACAGTTTTGTTTTACAACAATTTCGAGCATATGCAACTGAATTAGATGATAAACATGATCGTTTTGAGAGAATTGTAAAAACTGGAAGAGATATTACTATAGAAAGTAAAAGAATTATTTTTCTTTTGCACACCATAGATAAAA